CCAGCCTCCCTGAAAGCTGCTTGCTGTTCAGCATTCCCATGTGACAGAGGGTCATGGTTGAAGGCACAATGAATCTATGGGACAGGAGGGGCAGAAATGCCCATTGAGAAGTGCTGTGATTTTCTGTGTAGAGCAGTTAACTCTTGATGAGAAATTCACTGCTGCAATAGAACCCACTCAGCTTAAACCTGCCCTTGTGTTCTTCCAGGAAACTTTTGCTTCTGATCTAGCTTGGAGTTGTCACGCTGGAGTGGGTGGAAGTAATTGTTTTGCTGGGCTTTGTGCTAAGTAGTTTCAGTCCATGGGCATATGGAAATCTGATCCATCCTGCCCATAATTGTTTCTAAAGTTGTGTTAATAGCAGGTGTGCCCTGTGCCACTGGGGCATGGCCTTCACAAATCTCCCTGAGGTTATTCTGTGCATCTTTCTAGTCCAGTCCTGGGTAAACTTGAGTCAATGGGAGTTTTGTTTCTGGCTTGGATAAGTGCACGTGTACTTTCTACGTTTCACAGTGACAATGGGAATGCACCAGTTTAGGTCAGTGCTTCTGAATGCATTGCTGACTCCTTCTGGCAAGCTTTGTTTTTGTCATTTATTTTGCTGCCAGATTTCTGCAATAATAAATATGTCAGTAATGTGCTTATGCATCTGTTTTCAAAAGGGTGATAAGTATATGGGGATTTTGATGGTGTCTGGGTTGGGGGTCTCACTTGCCACTTTGATCTCTTCATCATCTGTTCCTGTGCTAACTGAAGGCTCACTCAATCTTTTTCTGCGAGGAGTTGTCATAATTTCTTGATAGTTTTGTAGTCAAAAAACCTTTTCTATTCTCAGCAAGCATGCACACAATTCACTCTGTAATACAAATCTTTTGGTCTCTAAGAATCATTTATTGATGCCTCTTTTTAAATGTCTACCTGGTTTGTATTTGGTTTTACTATTTTTTATTTTATTTTTTAAGGTCTTGGGCAGCTTTTCTGTTTTTCCTGCTTATCTGATTATCCCTATGAAATGTCACTAGAGGCTGCTGCACACAATTAAAAGCAGAATTTTTCATTACATGACAACAGTTCACATCTACTTCTTGGATGGATTACTTACCAGAGCTTTTGACAGACATTGGGCATATTGTGGTCACACAGGGTCGTTATGATGTGTCTTAGTTTTCTCTCTTTTCCTATCTGTTAAATACTTTAAATAATAGAATGGGTATTTTTTTTGATGTGAAGAATTACTCTAGTTGGCAGAAGTATTGAAAAGATCAATGGATGTCAGATCTGCTCATAAAGTTGCAGTCTGTATTTTTAAGAAGTTTGAAGGTACAGAAAACTGAGAGAAAGTAGGATCTGATTTAAATGAAAGGATCTGATGGCTTGCTCAGGAGGAATGACTCTCTGAGAGTGGGTTTGACTTAATGTTCTGGGAGGTAATAGGAATTGCAGCTGGAGGAGAGAGGAGAGACACTATGTCCCTATTTCTCTGTCTTCCTGAGTTATTTTATCTTCATAGATTACTGAAATTTCCTTGACCTGAAGCTTGATTGCTCAGTTCTGAATGAAGGAACAACCTTATCTGTCATGGTTGAATATATTGACATATCAGTGTCATGATCTCATCCCTAGCCAAAGTCCTGTGCCACACTATCATTAACCCAGGAGAACTGATCCAGGGTTAGCCACTGGCTCTTAAGTTCTGGTAGAAGGAGATCTTCCAACAAGGGGACACTTTCCCTCCTCTTCTCCCTCCTAGCTTAATACTGAACAGCTACAAAAGCAAAACTTAGAAGATATCAGTGAACATCCTCATCTGATTTACTTGATAACGTTAACAGCAGAACTCTGTACATCTTTGCTCTCAATAAGAGTCCAAGAGGAGTAGTAAACAAATACGAGAAAAATGTTTGCTATTTATTGAAATTAAGTGTGTTAGCAAAAAAAGTAGCAATTACGTATTTTATAGAACAAATCCATCAGGAACTCTGTGGAAGTTGTCTATTAGAGTGAAGCTGTGCCAAAGTCTCTGTAGGCATAGTGGAATTGGGTTGTTCCAAAGTGAATCAAGGCAGGACTTGAGAGAGTGAGAGCAAGTGAGAGCATCTCTGCTGGGAGATTACAGCTGGGAGAGAGGAGAGGGTGTCTCATACATGAATCAAAAGGAGTATGGCCAGCAAGCTGAAGGAGATGATTTTCCTCCACTACTCTGCTCTTGTGAGGCCCCACCTGGAACACTGCATTCAGTTCTGGTGTCCCCAACATAAGAAGGCCATGGAACTGTTGAAGCAAGGTGTTGGGGCTATATGGTCTCTAAGGCCCATTCCAACCCCTTAACATAATACGGAACAAAGGTAGGTGAAATTTATACCTTCCATTTTCCCACAATGTTTATTGACTAGTTTTTATTTTTCTGTCACAACTAGAGACTTTCAGATTTAAGGTTCTGTAACTGACCCAAACTTCCCTTTTAGTTTTTCTGCTTGCATGAGAGATTGTACTACTTTTTATTCCATAATGTCTCTCAGACTAATGTGTATGTATCCATGACAGCAGCACACTCAGTTATTGTTGCATTGAATTTGGGATCTGAGTTGATTTTGACTTCCTAGAGTGGGATTGTCCAATCTGCAGTGAGCCACTTTGGGTAAAACACCAGCAGAGTTAATTCAGTTTGCTGTGTTGGCATCCCCTTTCTGTTAGACAGAGAATATACAAGGAGTATTGTAGATGGAAAGAATAGTTCTCAGTGCAGTCAGATCCTGCTGGAAGTGGCACTGCTTGCTTGTTAGGTCATGTTCAAGTTGTGCAAGGTGAAGTCTATTTTAGTGGAACAGCTTGTATCCTTCAGTCAGTGTTTCTCTTGTCTGGCTGTTGTTCACCATGTGCAGTGTGGTGCTAAGCCCTGGTTTATGGGTGGGACTTTGTGACTGCTGCTGAACTGCTGTGCTCTGCCCTGCAGCTCCAAAGCTGTGGAGTGACAGCCTGAACTCACAAGGGAGCTCTTCTATCCTCAGGCTATTCCTGAGTGTAATATTTTGTCCATATGAGGAGCTGCAGGTCACTCCTAGTGAATCAAGTGGCCCCTGCTTTTCACAGAAACCTGGTTTTGGTGTTCTCAATTCTCTCTCAGTCTGGGATCCCTTAACAACTTGAGACTGGACACATACTTCTCTTTCTGCACACTTTGGGGAGATAACCAAAGTTTGCATTCAAGAGATGATATTTTAAAACAAGTCATTGAGATTGCTTCAGAGAAAGGTTTAAATGTGGAAACTGTTCTTGCCTCCCTTCTGAAGGACTCCAAGGAAAACAGGCAAATCCAGACCAAATTGGCCTGATTTTTTTAAAATCAACACTTCATGGGTGTTCTGCAAGGTCCAAATTCATGCCCTGATTTGAGCATTACCAGTTATGGCAGTATTTTTTCTTACATTTCGATGTCATGTGGTTTTGAACATCTTAGGGTGCTTGAAGTACAGAATCACAGAATGATTTTGGTTTGTAGAGATCTCAAACATCCTCTAGTTCCAACTCCCCTGCCATGGACAGGGATACCTTCCAGCAAACCCCTGCCATGGACAGGGACACCTTCCAGCAAATGAGGCGAATGAGAACAATCTAACTTTATGGAGCTGTTCTGTGAATGTTGGAGGGGAGGGGTTTTTTAATGTGTCATTTTTTGTTTTCTGGTTTCGCTTCTTTTATGAACCCAAACCACTTTTTATTGGCCATTAAAGTTTGTGATCTAGGTTTATGGATTTATAGCATGTGTGTTTTATCCC